CTATAGTCTCATATATCCTGTATTTATTTTCTTTGCTAATGGATTGGTCTTATAAAATGCTGTTTAACATTGTGATGGCTTTTCTCCCTGACGTATTTCCCTCTCTTATGGCTTAGTCTTATGTTCTATTTTATAAAATAGTGATACCTAACTATTTGTAGTCACAGCAGTGGTTTATTGTGAAGTTATCGTATAATACGAGATCTATTTGATTTACTCTAATGCACAGATACTTGATTTTCTTTTTGTTTACATCTAGACAGCATATATCATAATTTTCGTGCTATCTAGTTATTACTTGATCGTCTGCAAAGTTAAGCGTATATACAATAGTTAAAATTAAGAGTGAAACTGGAACAAAATATGAAGTGGAGATATCCAGGAGTGGCTAGTATACCTGTTGAATACAAAGCACGTGGTGGTCGTGTGTATTAAGGTATAAAAAAATGCTTATTAAAAGCTTAAAATTTTTATTTTAAAGAAGATCTTATCGGAATTGAATCATTTCATCATCAGTTTAATAAAAAGTTGTTAAAAAACATTGGAAGGACATCCGTATTAAAAAACAATCCTCATGGTATTTATGATGGTAAATACAAGAGACTGTTAATTTGTTGATTACTTAAAACTGAAAATGGGGGCATCTTACATGACCCCCTGTAGTTGGTAAGGTTTTATTGACTTACATTACCTCTGATCTGTGCTGGAGTCTAGGGCTAACTGTCAATTAGCTAGGGCTAACTCCAGCACAGATCAGAGGTAATGTAAGTCAATAAAACCTTACCAAGTACAGGGGGTCATGTAAGATGACCCCATTTTCAGTTTTTAGTCATCAACAAATTAACAGTGTATTGCATTTACCGTCATAAAAACCATGAGGATTGTTTTTTAATACGGATGTCCTTCCAATGTCCTTCCTATGGTCCTAAAGCTTTAATTTTCTTACATGCAGTATCTGTAAGAGCCCATGACTTAACTCCATGCAACAGTATACCAAAGATATAACATTGTAGTAACTTGGTTTTTATGGTTACTAATAAATGATGGCAGTTAAATAGCTTAACTATTGTTTGAAATGCAGATCTTGTTTTTTCTATCCTACATTTTATTTCTTGGGAATGGTTCCAATTTTCATTGACCTTCGTACCAAAGTAGGTGTATGATTTAACTCTTTCTATTAGTTCACCATTCACACCGATTCTCTCAATCTGCTGTTCCTTTTTAAATATTATCATACATTTTGTTTTCTTAATGCTCAGTGAAAGTGTATATCACTGACTTATTTCTGTGATTATATTCATCAGCTCCTGGAGGACTTTATACCTGTCAGCGAATTCCACCGTATCATCCACGTATCTGATGTTATTGATACTTCTTCTTTTCTTCTTTTAGCTACAGCTATTATATCGTCTATCCATCTCTCTTTGGGTCTTCTCATGCTTCTTTTTGTTTTTCAAGGTCTCCAGAATGTCACTTTATAAGATCATCTGTTGGTGTCTTGGCTTGCTACATACGGTACCCATTAACCATCTCAATGTCGCAATTTTTGCCATGATGTCGGTTACTTTAGTTATTCGACGTATTTCGGTGTTAGAAATTTTGTCTCTGAGGCTTATATTTAACATGGCGTTCTCCATGGCCCGTAATGGTTAAGATATACTCAATCTATTTTTAATCCCCTTTTGGTCCAATTTAGTTTTTTGAGGACATTTTCTAATGCCAAAGTAAATAACTTGGGTGAGATGGTGTCGTCCTGTCCCACACCTTTGCCAAGGTATATTTTCATAGTTTCCATAATATTTATTTATTTTTACGTGAAAAGTAGCATTATTGTTAATATTCTTAAGGAGGGCAGCATATCTTAAATCTACTCTGGTGCCGTCCAATGCTGTTAAGAAAGCCCATTTCTCTATACTGTCGAATGCTTTGTGATAATTAACAAATGCCAGATGTAGTGGTATGTTGTACTCTATTGTTTTTTCAATAACTGTCCGGATTGTTTGTAAGTGATCGATAATGCTAAAACCCTTACGAAAGCCTGATTGCTGCACTGGTTGGTATTGATACATTCGCTGGTAATTCGAACTTCGGCTTCAACATCCTTTACTACTTCTTAAAAGATTTTTAAGATAATAATAAATAGAGTAGAGGCGTGAGACAGGGTGATACAATATCACCGAAACTTTTCAATCAGGCTCTTGAAGATACTTTTAAAAGATTAGAACGGGAAAAAAAAGGTATAAAAATTTGTGGACAACGCTTGAACATCACATCCAAGGTACGCTGATGACATCGTATTGATAACCAATAAAATAGAAGAATTATTTGAAATGATAAAAGAACTGGACGTAGAACCTGGAAAGATAGGCCTTAATATGAATTACAGCAAGACCAAAACTATAACAAATACAGATGAAGACATCACAATGAGAATAGGAGAAGATGAAATAGAACAAGTTAAGGATTATATATATCTTGGTCAAACTATAAAACTTAACAAAGAGAACCAAACAGCAGAGATAAAGAGACGAGTTAGACTGGCATGGGCGGCATTTGGCAAACTAAGCTACATTCTTAAAAACAAAAGATATCCACAGCATCTTAAGACCAAAGTATATAATTAATGCGTACTCCCTGTTCTTACTTATGGTTCCCAAACGTGGACATCTACAAAAGCAAACATGGACAAAATCATAAAAACCCAAAGAGCAATGGAAAGACAGATGTTGCACATAAGACTAATGGATAAGAAGAGAAACGAGTGGATAAGAGAGAAAACAAAAGTGAGGGATGTTAGACAAGAAGTTGCAAAATTGAAATGGAGATTTGCCGGACACAATATAAGACAAAAAGAAGACCAATGGAACAAAATTCTTATAAGTTGGAGACCGTGGGAATATAAACGAAGCAGAGGAAGGCCCCAAATGAGATGGGCAGATGATATCAAGAAGCACGTGGGCTCTAGATGGATGACTGTAGCGACAGACAGAGAAGAATGGAAAAGGATTGGGGAGGCCTATGTCCAAAGATGGACCGAAGAAGGCTAATTAGATAGATAGATAGATAATAAATATATTAACATTTGATATTAACTTTAATTTTAAGATAAAATCTACACATCTTCATCATGACCAATATCAATTCCGTATAGACAATTTTATTTCAAAAGATATCATAGATATAATTTAGGGTGATGATTTGTAGCAAGCAATATTTACGACAGAACAAACCATAGGTGAGAAAAATATTAACATATTCCTAATACAAAGATGGACACATTGAAATCTAAGTTTTCTGATATTTACTTGCAAAAAGAAAAAAATAGATAGTCTTTAATACAATCTACTAGGGAAGTACTTGATGGTATATTTAGTTAAAGACGCTTCTGCAAAGGCATTTATTTAATAGAAATATTTATTGGTAGCTGATGCAAACAGACTATCCTCTGTGGAGCTGTTATTTTATTATCTAATCAAAATTATGATCCATAATATATCTATAACGTGTATTATTAATTTTTAACCTATATTAAGATAAGCATATTGTTTATTTTAACCATTTTAAAAGTAAACATGATAACCAAAGTTATCTAATAATATTAGTAGGATTTAATTTGCCAACACACTTGAACTATGATTGTGGTGTAAGTATCTTATTGCAGGAGTTTTTAAACTTGGTACTTCAGTTCAATGTAGTAATCTTTAGTAATCAATTTAATAAATAATTTCACGACACAGCTGATAATCCCAACATTATCAAAAAACTCACGTTTTTACAGTATTCAAGACTAATGAACCTTTTATTTACTATTGTAACATATTTTTATTGTTATTTTATTTGTTATTTACCCTATATACGAACATTTATCAATTATTTCTGTTAAATTAGAGGCAATCCGTATCTTATTCCACTAGTCTACTGGTGTATTATCTAACCCAGCTGCCTTTTTGTCTTTAGAGTTTTTAATAGCATATTTGTTTTCATCTATCGTGATCTTGTGTCTCTCTAAAGGATTTAATTCTTGCATTTTCTGCATTTCAGCTCTTTTATCTTGGAAAAGTTTTCTAACGTACTCCTTCCATCGTCTTAATTTCTCTGGTAAATCTATTACTAGTACTCCTTTTTTGTCTTTCATGTATTCTTGCTGTGTATTTCGACCCATTGCAGTCACTTCTTTTGTTTTTTGTGCATATTTCTCACATCATATTTTGTTTCTAGTTCTTCTGTCTCTTTACATTGTTTCATCAAATAGATTTCCTAAGCTGTTTTGATTTTTTTCTTAATTATTTGTTGTATTTCTTTGTACTTCTGTAAATCTTTTCCTTTAGATTTCCGTCTTTCTTCCATCTGTAATAGTATTTCTTCTGTCATCCACTGTTTTTTATCTTCTGACCTATGTTGTATCAAATACATAATGTCTATTTTAACGATTTCGAAAATAAAAATGGTCAAAGCTCGTTCAATAATCTATATAGTAGTATAAAACGTTATATTGTAAGAACAGGTATTATGGGAGGAACTTAAATATATGAGATAATATAACGAGTGTTATGAGATAATAAAACGTATGCTTGCTTTTCCACATAGTTATTACCTTATAGAATATGGAAAAATACAAATAAACTATATAGAAACAATAAAGGAAAACTGACAAGGACTATGAGGTAGACCATACAGTAAATTCTAAAATTAAGAAACTCTGATCTTAACCCAGAAGTCCATGGTTATGGTGGATGCGCATTCTCTCGAATACGTCCGAATGGTAGGTCAAAACATGGTGTTTATAGTGATAAATGCAGATTTTAATGAAAAACGATAATCTTTGACAATTTAGTTATACAGGTTCAAGACGAATACTATTGATAATAATTTGGAGGATCTTTAAGAACAATCCTCTATTAAAAATTTTGCTTACGACAATTACAGGGGAATAATATTATTGTCTAGTGAGTATTTATATACATGTTTCATGGTCAAAAGGAAAACAGAAACAAAGAACGCAAGTTTAAAAATTTATCTTACACTTTTTAGTCATATTACAACAATTACTTTAATTTGTCTCTAACACAATTCCAAATCTTGACATATTTCTTGAGGTGATGTGGAACTGACAGCATTGTAGATCTTTTCGACTTCTGGAAGCAAATCTTTCTCACAGAAAGTCTTTAAATCTCCTGGTAGAAGGTCACAAAGTGCTTGTGCGTCTTTTTCTACTTGGTCCTATAAGAAAAGTGAACATATCTTTAAATTCCATCTATTTCTCTTTTTTTTATTTATTAATACTATAAACGGAACCATTTTTTAAATGTTTCGGATACAACAATATGTTTTAGTTCTGAATAAAGAGAAAACATAACGATCGGAAAAAAACTAGGCCTTAATTAAAATTTGTAATTTTACTAAAAAACAAAGTACCACAGTCGAATATGCAAAACATTTGAAGTATCACAAGTTGTATATATTTGGAAAATTTAAAATAGAAAGAAAATGAGTAACCATAGATTGAGTGATAAGACAAAAAGTTCACAATTTTGTTATATGTACTACAACTACAAAAAAGTATCTATAATTTTAAAGACATACCATCAGAGAATGTATATAAAAAAACAAAAAAAAAATAATACTAAAAAAAGCCAAAACAGATAAATGAAACATTGTAAAAATCATATAAAATGACTTAAATCAATTCGTATTTCTTCTATTCTTATTCTAAGTTCATATAAAATTAATAGTTTTCTATGAGTTATAAGGCAGTTGATGTAAACTAAATATTTGGCTAAAGTGCTAAAGGGAGAAATGAATTAAATTATGTAGCGAAAGATAAAAATAAAAAAAAATATTTTTTATAAAACTTACCAATGGAATTTCCTCTTTTACGAAATTCTGGATTGCTGTTGCAAAGGACACGCAGGTGTCACAGAAAAAGCTAAAAATGGAATCTTTTGTTAATTTAAAATAAAAAAATAGAGATATTGTTTAGATAATTGCAGGATTTAACAAATACGTGATTAATTTCATACCAATTTAACGTAGAGTTATAAAAAACTAAACAAAATTCTTGCTAAAAAATTAATAATTATTAATTAAATTAAAAATATTTGTGGCCAATTTTTACTGGCAACCTATTATCAATGTATTCTCCTACTTTTACATGTATATAAAAAATGGCTAGCCTGGAGCTAAAGTGGTCTATGTCGCATATGTATGAAAATTGAGATTTTGTTATATTTGACTTTAAAAGCTAGTAATCTATCAGTACTAAAGTGGTCTATGTCTAAATCTCAGTCAGAGTCCGTAAAATAACAATGTACCACTTTTACTTTTGGGGAAATTGAAATTTGTTAAAATTCGTAAGGGGTCTATGTAACACTATGCATCATAGACCTATTGATTTCTACCAATGTAAAAATTCTAAATTCTAAAGTGGTCTATGAAGCACATTAATCAACAATTATTAATAGAGCGGCAACACTGTGGCGCTAATGTCATTGGTACTAACCTCAAACCGGGAGGTTGCAGTTATTTAGTTAGTAGATCGGTTGTGTTAATGTGAAAAATGACTACGAATATTTCAATAAGGTCTCGTACACGCAGACTAGTGGAAGCTGCGAGACAATTTCATGACGAAACTGATTCAGAACCTTATCCGGGTTCAAGTGAAGATGAGTACATACCTTCAAATAATGATGGCAGCGATTCTGATGCAAGAGATAGTAACACAAATACAAGTAAGTGCATGTTTAAATAAAATATTATAGTTTAGTAACCAATGAGGGAAGCAATTGATTTTAAAAAGAAAGTGATTGTAGTAACTAGTAGGAAAATCCACGTGCTGATGTTTTTACATTAATCTGTTGATGCGCACTGTTACCATATTTTTTATTTTTCAAAGAAATTAATATATTAAAACAAAATAAGCTACATTTTTGTTAAATTTGTCTGCCCCTAATGGGTATTTTAAGAGTTATTTTAAAACCATTATAACAGCTCAATTAAAACAAAGCTTTAACGCATCGCAACGTTACATAATGTTATTGTTTTAAGTAAACATACTGAACTACCTCCTCTTGTTACAGATTCCGATGTTGAACATGAACCTGTGTTGTTGAATCAAAACATGGAAAATCTTGGGGAAATTCAAGAACCGGACGAAACTGAAGTAAAAAAGGGAAGAGAGAAAATGAAACAAGAGGCTTTATGGGGGAAATACGTCAGAAAGAGATGTAGAGCTTCAGGAGAGAAATACACTAGTATAAAAGGGAAAGTTATGGCCGCTAAAACGTTTTCTTACATTGAATGTAATTGTCGTCTAAAATGCAGTAATAGAGTGCCAGAGAATGTCCAGAGAGAGGTACATGACAGATTTTACAAACTACAGGATTGGGACGCTCAAACTAGCTGGTTGTATGGTACAGTTAGAACTAAAGCAAACGTCCCCGAAAAAAAATACACCCAGAATCTGTGAGTCGTAAACAATATTCACGGATATTTCAACTAAATGGTCAGAACGTGTGTAAAAATTTTTTTTTTAAAAGTATTACAAATAAGTTTTCATCGATTAGATTATGCACTAAGAGTAAAAAAAGCCGAAAATAGTGATATCCCTTCCCCCGATCGAAGAGGAAGAAAAGTTCCTGGAAATAAAATAATACGAACTGTTTAAATGTAAATTAATTATTGAAGGAAAACCAGTTCTTAAAAAAAGTATCTATGAAAAATCTTTAGAACCGAATTTAATATTCATTTCTATATACCTAAAAAAGATACTTGCAAATTTTGCGATGCATTTCAAATAAGTTTAAATGCCGAAAGTAATAAAGAAAAATCAGAACAAGTAAAAATAGAAAGGGACCAGCATATTGCTCTGGCTCAAAAAGCTAGGAAACTTCTAAAAGATTACAAAAACGAGTGTGTGAAGCCGGACAGTACAGGTGTATTAATTACATTTGATTTGGAAAGAACACTTTCCTTACCTCACATAAATACCGGTGAGGTGTATTACTTAAGGAAGATGCGTATGTTAAACTTAGGAATTCATACTTATGAAAGTGGTGGAGAAAACGTTTTTATAAACATGTGGTATGAGACCAAAGGGGCTAGAGGTTCTCAAGAAGTGATAAGATGTTTATATCACTATTTTAAAAATGACATTCCTCCTCATGCTACAAAACTTGTTCTCTTTAGTGACTGTTGTGGGGGACAAAATCGGAACTGGAATTTGTTACATTTTCTTATGTACATGGTTAACGTTTTACCGAACATTCAAGATATCTATGTAAATTATCTGGTTACCGGTCACACATATTTACCAAAGGATGGCGATTTTTCATTTATTAGTAGGGCACAGAATTTAACCCCAGTGTACACTCCTGAAGCATGGATGGAATTAATTTCAAATTGTCGAAAGCGCCACCCATTTCGTGTAAAAAACATGGTGGATAAGTTTGTGTCATTCGACAAGTTGAAGATTTTTAAGTCACCTCATGCCCTGCGGAGTTCTGGCGTCATGATTTCTCAAATACGCAGAATTAAGTTCTCCAAAGATACATCGGTAATGTTTTTCAATGATGATTACTCGGATACTTATAATGCTATAGATCTAAATAAAATGAATTCTTTTCAAGAATTTGCACGGGTATTAAAAAACTTTTCCCCGGAGGTTTCCGCAGATAGCAGACCCTTATCTTTTAATAAAATAAAAGATATAAAAAAAAATGCTACAATTTGTACCTCCTGTGCATCATCCATTTTATCTTTCTTTACCCCATTACAATCGCAGAGGTGATAGGGAGGATAATGAAGACATACTACCACCATTTCGAGGTGAAGACTTGGATGAATAAGTTTACTTAACTATTTTTAATAATTCTAAAATGGTCTATGTTACATTTTTAAATAAAAAAAATTAACAAAATGAAGTTCAGTTATCAGTAAGGATTTTTTTTTATGTTTGTAAGATTTTTGGTAACCGTAATTAAACTTTTGTACAAAAATTTTGGTTTTAGTTCCTGTACCAACCGATTTATACATTAAAATGGATTTTTTTTAATTTTCTCGAAAAAGTGGTTTTGTTACTTAGACCACTTTAGTTCCAGGCTAGCCAATATTAGTTTGAATAACTACGTTACGAACGTAGTAATCGTGCAGTAAGGCGAATGACACGTCAAATCGGTGTTTTATGTTTATATAAATACTGGTTCTAGCTTTGATTAATTCTGTAATTCGTTGTTTCTATTCAGTACTACTTACTCATTCTTTTGACCGTAGACGGTAAGACCTAAAAACAAATACTACTTTAAAAATAAAAACAAAAAATAGCTTTTGTTAACAAATTTTGTTAAAAACAATTTGTTAAATAAAATATTTTTTCAACATTATTGTTTCGGCTATTAAAACAGAGAATTAAATAAAACACAACTGAGTAAATTTAAACCTCCATTACATATCAACGTAAGATGCGAGGCCAATACAAACAAAAATCAAAATCGAAGGACTAAATACGGAATAGACGGAATACTTACACAGGAAAAAAATATCAGAGAAGATCGCTAAAAATGAAATATTGGATAACAATAACATCGAGAAAAGCTGGAAAAACCTCAAAAATAACATAACTTACACAGCAACAAAACAACTTGGAGAAAGGATAGTAACGAACACTAACATATCCAAAAAGAAAACAACATGGTTTAAAGAGGAAGTGAAGACAAAATGTGAAAGAAGTCTTTTTACAATAAAAACCACTGTAAACACATCAGAAATAAAACAAATACTTTAGTTAGACAAATAAAAAAAGGACACAGGACACAGGACACAGGTTAATTGTCTATATTTGTTGCACTCACGTAGTCCAACGTATTTATAGTTCGTTCAATGTTCCATCCGGCTGAAAGGACCAAGAAATGTTTAGTTTATTGTCTATTGTCGTTTAATTAATATAGGCAAAATTAAAAACTTGGTGGACTGTAAAACACTGGCTTTATTTTAACTAACAAAACGCTATTTAAACTAAAACACTATTGTCCTTTGTAAAATGAAACTAATGAACGAATTTATTGTTTGTTTACTGAACTGCGAGCTGCTTGCTTGTTGATGTCTCGTCGATATCTTCTTTCTTGTCTGTTAGGTGCGCGCACTCCTGGCTGAAGTCACGCACACAGTTGCCGGTTGTAATAAAAAATCTAGAATAATTGTTTGCCGGGCAAACATAGATTTTCTCAAAACAGATGGAACACGACTTCTTCGGAACACACAAATATGAAGAATGATCAAAGGACATAAAAAAGAAATGAAAAAACTAATAAAAACAAAACAAACAAAAAGAAGAAAACAGGGTAGACCACTTTCATTCCCTATTTGCTAAAGGTGACGATAATTATTTTGTTTCATCGATTACGAGAAAGCCTTCGATAATGTAAAACACGAATTGATGATAAAATACCTACAAGAGTTGGGATTTGATGCCAAGGATATAAGAATTATCGCCAATCTGTATAGGAACCAGACAGAAACAGTACGTCTTCAAAATTTCAACCAAACAGAAGATTTCTCCATTAAAAAGGGAGTAAGGCAAGGTTGTATACTATCTCCAATGCTGTTCAATTTATACGTAGAAAAAGCCTTTGCAGAAGCAGTGGCAGACTCTAATAAGGGTATTAAAGTTAACGGCATATTTATTAATCGCATCAGGTATGCCGATGATACAGCCATAGTGACAGATAATATCGAAGATCTTCAATGCCTTTTAAATGATCTAATTCTTGAAAGTGAAGCTCGTGGTTTGAAAATAAATATCAAGAAGACAAAAACAATTACTATAAGTAAAAATGATTACCCCATCGCAAAGATATATATCTCTGGAGAAGAAATCGAACAGGTCAGGCAATTTAAATACTTGGGTTGTTTGCTGAACGAGGGTTGGGACCTCGAGAATGAAATAAAGAGCAGAGTGAAACAGGCCAGAAATCCTTTTTGAGGCTTCGTAAGTTTCTGACTGATCGCAAATTGGACTGTAACCTCCGATACAAGATGCTCCGATACAAGATGCTTAGAAGTGTTACGTGTGGTCTGTTCTCCTATAGGGAACGGAAGTATAAACGTTAAAGGCCAGTTCCATTAACAAACTTGAAGTGTTCGAAATGTGGTGCCTGCGTCGAATGCGTAGAATATCATGGACGAACAAGGTCAGAAATGAGGAAGTACTCAGAAAAGCGGGCTTACAGGATAGGAAACTTTTTAGTTATATAAAAAGTAAGAAGACTGCATACTTAGGGCACATATTACGAGGAGAAAGATACACTTTTCAGCAACTGATACTTAAAGGGTAGAAAATAGGAAAGGTCTGGGATATAAAAAATGTCATGGCTGTGCAATATTCGATAATGGACAGGAATCCAAAGCTATGAAATGCTTCGCAATGCTGCTAAAAACAGAATTATTTATTCCTGAATATTTAACATCTCACCTGACAAGGCGATGTACGGTGGACTTTTACGCAGAAATACGCAGCATTTTAAGAAGAAGAGAAGACGAGAATGAACTACCAACATAGATTGGTTGGACAAACAAAGAAATAAGTATTAAGGAGAAAGAGGTAAAGAAAGCATTAAGGAAATTAAAAAATAGAAAATTACCAGGAGTAAACAAAATACTAACTAATCCAAAAAATTCAAATTATTAAAAAAATAGAACAAAACAAAATTCCTCAAGAATGAAGATCAAGCATCCTAATACCTCTCTTCAAAAAGAGAGACAACTTAGACCCGGAAAATTACAGACGAATAAATTAATAAATATCTTTCTTAATAAAAATTCTACTTACCGACGCAAGCCAAAACAGCCAAAAACAAAGTAGTCTTCATGTTTACGATTTGTAGTATACAGTAAGGTGCATCAGTGGATCAGCTTTATATACAAAAACTGAACCACTTAAACAAAAATAGTTTAACTGCAATACTGATATAAATCTCCCTATTTGATCCTCTATTTTCCAGTTCTATGTAAACAGGTGATAACATTGAATTGGTTATTATAATTAAATGAACAGATTTGAGATAAGAAAAAAACTATGAAATGCTGTAAGTAGTTGTTTCCTTTTTTAAAATATTTAAATCTCTAAAAACAATAAAATTGTTAAATATAATTTATTAAAAACGTACAACTCTTTTCAAAAGTAAAAGGCAATGCTGCAACCCTTTATAAAATTAAAGGTAGAACAACAATTTGAATTGTATGAGCTGTCAAAGTTGTTATGTCGATCAAGTTTCACGATGGCTTAAACGGAGTATAATATAACACAAAAGTGACTTTACAATAGAAAAAATACATATGTGATAGCTGACCATCACTTTAAAACTGGGTACCATTAGGATTACTTAGATGTTAGGATTTTACAACAAGAAAATAATTACAACAAAAGATTTTTTAGAAATGTTTGACATTGACAAAGAACAGATGCAATAAAAACAAAGCAGATAAGGAACAGTCAACCCTTTGCGGACCAAGTTAAGTATTCAATAAAAAAATAAACAGTTATTATAAGTTAGGGATACAAAAGAGAACGTCAAGTGTCACTTAATTTCTTTTTTTTTATATAAGGGATGTTTTAGTTTGGAGGTGGTTCCATGGTAGAACCACTGGTACTGATTAGTACTATCTCAATTTTTATAACATGATATTAAATATTTATAAAGGTAAGTTTACTTTATTTTTTATGATATTCTAAAAAACAATTGTTTTTTTTAGAAAAATAGTTCCACCTTTCATACAGTGCAATGCCATCTCATTCGATGGGGTTGGTTTCTTGTACTGCATCGTGCACATTTTACTTTGGTCCATGTATTGGCATATGCTTCCACTTATTGGTGCGTATTTCAATGGGAACACAGATTTTAAGTTTTATTTACCTCAGAAACGGACGATTTTCTTTCTTTCTGAGTAAACTAAGGAGTACCCATAGGTCCTGCAGAAACTGCTAAACGAGATTCTTCTCAGGAAAATGTTGATGCATTACCAGATCGTTCTTAAAAAACAATGAAAGCATTAACAACCGTTAAGTCAACAAAATGCCAGAATATTCTATGCCACCATTTCTTGGACTTTCGGTTAATTTCTTAACAAGTTTTGAGCATATCTGACTTGTCCACATAACCCATATGTTCGTTGTAATTTTTGATTAAACTTTGGCAAGTAACGTTTTGTTTGGAGCCATCATTTTGTTTCCTTAAAATTAGTTGAGCAGCTCTAAAATCATGAAAATTACTCATGAAGTGAACTATTCTGTTATCCATACATCCATACAGCAAGTATACATCAATTATCTTCTATTGAGTGTCTCCCCTTTTCATGGCTTTGTCCTTTTGTCCTTGTCTGTGACTGTGGTCAGGAGATTTTTTATTTTCTAGATACCACGTAAGCCTGTAATTTAAAATCTTCTCGAGAAGTTTACACATGCTACAGATGAAGAAAATGGGAAAGTAAGATGTGGGACAATCTTTTGGATTGTGTTGTTTATAAATTGGAATTATAATAGCTTGGGTCCAATTATGAGGAAAGTAATGATTTAAAAAGATGTGATATGTCTAAAAGTATCTTTTTGCCTTTTTGAGGCAGATTTTTTTAAAATATTAATGGAATATCATCAGGACCGGGGATGTGGTTTTAAGTTTAAAAGAGAAAAATCTAATTCTTGCAAAGTTAAAGTTATGGGTGCATTTATGGTAGAGATTGGTTGCGAATTTTGATATCTACAGATTCTGTAGTAATCTTGTGTGTAAAAAAAATCGGATCTAGTAGAGAATCGCTAGTGTTTGTTTGAAATACGTCTATTAGAATTTCAGGAATTTCGTTTCTACAAGAGATGATTTGGTTGTTATATGAAAGTGCATGTATTGAGTAAGTTATAATTAATCCTTTTATTTTTCTTTATTTTCTTTTAGATTATATTGGCTGGGTTAGATGTATTAATGCTTCTAACATATTCAATCCAGGTCTCCTTCTTACTCTTTTTTATTAAGAATCATGTACTAGCTCTCAATCTCTTAAATTTAATTAGGTTTTCTCGGTTTTGTATCTCTTAAGAACAGCAAAGGCGTGCTTGCTAGCAGCCAAGGCCCGAGAGATTTATTGATTCCACCAAGGTACCGGTTGCCTTTTACACGGTTTAGTTTTTCGTACAGATGTAAATGCACAATTTAAGATAATGTTGTTCAAGTCCATGATGGTTTTGTGAATGTCATTTGTTATCTCATAATTTTCCAATCTCGTCTTTCAAGTCTTCTTGAAAAAGTTCCCAGTTTACTAATTTTATTTTCCATCTTTGATATGCATTCAGAATCAGAGGTTGGTTTGTTTCAATTGAGATAAGTAAAGGAAAGTGATCACTGTCGTGCAGAATTTTTGCTGTCTATCATTGAAACATGTGTGCTAGTGATGCTCTACACAGGGTCAGGTCAATTGCAGAGAACGATGAGTTATAAGAATTGAATCTTGTTGGCTTTACAGTGTTTAATAAGAGTAAATTTGATTTATTTATTAAACTGTGTAGAAGGTTGCCACATTTATCATTTTTTGGCTACTCCATGCTGGGTGATGGCAGTTAAAATCGCCTAGAATTACTTTGGGATGGAGTAATTTTTCTATGAGTGCTGTTAGTTCATTTACGTCGTTTTGGTTAGGATGCGATAAGTATATATTGCAAACATTGATGTTTTTACTGTAGGTAATTGAAACGGCCACAGCTTCCAGGTTTATAGTAAGTGGAATGATTTTTGCTTCAGTGTCATTTCGAATGAAAGTAGCTAGTCCACCACTAGCATTTATTCCATTTCTGTTTTTCAGAAATGGCACATAATTTCTAAGTGTTACAGAATTGTTTTTAAAGTGAGATTCTTCCAGACAAGTTTTAATTGCTCAAGGTAGGTGTAGAATCCGTTTAGGTTCCATTGAATTAAAAATGTATCAGTATTATTTATCCTGACTAGTTGTGTCGTTGTCAGATTCTTCTGTAGATGAATAATAATTTGGGGATAATTATCTCTTAATAGTCGTAATTGTTTGTTTTTTTATAGGGATTTTGAATATTTGAGTAAATAAAAGTGAGATTTTTAATAATTTCGTATATTTTATTGTTATCTTTTGTTATAAGCTCAGGGTTTTTAGAGTTAGTGCCATTTTTTAAAAATAGGCATATTTTTTCTGAATACCTATAGGAAAGGGCGGAATTTTTAGTTTTATTAAGTTTTTAATAGAGTTAAGGATAGCAAATGTGTTTTCAGTCGACTTGGCTCTTTTTTTCTGGTTTCGATATTTTGAAAAGAGAGAAGACGTCTTGTGATGTGGGAATATCAGAAACATCTGAAAAATTTGATAATTCTCTATTGGCCTTATTTTTATTTAGAGGTGGGTTATCGTTGCTAGTTATAGAGAGGGTAGAGGCTGGGGTGTTATAGGGAATATTTACTTCAGAAAGAGTTTTATTGGTGGTTTCAGTTAGCTGTATATTAGTTTGGTTATTTAAATTAGGATTTTCAGGTACTTCTGTTTCCATTTGTTCACTGGGCGAATTCGTTTTATGAATGCAATCAACTTCTCGGTATTCTATTGTTCGACATGTAGAACAATTAAATTCATCTATAGAAAGATATATTCGATATGTTTTGGATTCAAAATAAATGTTGAAAGAGTCTGTTATGGATAAGTTTTCTAATAGATTAATGTATATTTGCCGCCGGAAACTCAAAACATGGTTATATTCTGTCTCAGACATACATACTCGAAGAAATGCAATTTTTGATATGGCTATAATTCCCATTTTTTGAGTTCGTCTTCTATATCTTCTTTTGAAATGGTTGGACAAACATTCGAGATGACTAATCTTAATGCTGGAGTTATTAATCTGCGGTCTTCTACTTGCACATTGCTCATTTTAACGTATTTATGTAAATTATTAAGTTGATCTACTATTCTTTTGGAAGATCTTCTTCTTTGAGTGCTATATCCCTACGGAACGTCGGCGACTACCATGCTTATAATATTGTTATACTGATCTCGGTCTTGCGCTACGTGTAGCAATTGATCCGCTGTTAAACCTGTACACTGTCGCTAATTCCTCAACTAAGAGAGTTTCTTCCGGCCTATCCATTTCTTTCCTTCAATTTTACCGTTGAGAATTAGCCGAAGGAACTCATATCTTGGTTTTTTGATTATATGTCCAAGATATTCTAGTTTACGCCTCTTAATAATATTTAATACAGTTCGTTGATGTCCCAATCTTCGAAGAACTTCTTCGTTTCTGGTTCTGCTAGTCCATGGAATTTTTAGTATCTTTCGATACAACCACATCTCAAACGCCTCGATTTTATTCATGATATCGGCTTTTAAAAGATAAATGAAAATGCGCGTGTCTGCAATTATCGAGGTAGAAACTATGTTCTTTGGAAGGACAAGTGTTCCAATGGCAAGTATATAATCATGAATTTTAATTCCCTCTATGGCAGATAGTACAATAGCTTGGTCTTTTGCTGGATATTTGAATGTAGTTAGTATGTTTCAGAATGTAGAATGTGTGGTATTTTTTGAAGAATTATTTTCCTTTATTTCATAAAGGATTCATTTTTGGTTAATAATTTTTGTCTTTAAATTTATTTACCCTAGTCAATTTTTTACCCCTGCCAATCTGGCTTTGTATTATCAGCAGACTTTTAAATAAAAGCCGCTCTGGGAACCGGTCGGAGCGGCCTTTGTAATAATTTGTTAACTTTTAGAGTTGTATTGTGTATTATTGAAAATATTGATTGTACTCATTGCAGTTTCAGACCAATTGATAAAAAGCACTGTAGATTTTTTAGAATACACTTTTAACTATGTTTGTTTACTTTATTCTATTAGATTTAAACGATATCGGAGCTAACCTAAATGTGGTTTGTTGAACCGAGGTTAAAGTCTTCCTTCTATGACATGTTTATGTTACAATAATATTAGTTTCTTGTCACTATTCATAATATAATATACGTATTCCAGGGTAAAAAGATAAAGAAAAACAAACAAAGAATGCTAGTTTAAAATTTATATTACACGTTTTAGTCATATAACAAAAATTACTTTTATTTGTCTCTAACACAATTCCAATTCTTGACATATTTCTTGAGGTGATGTGGAATTGAATTCATTATTGTAGATTTTTTCGAGTGAGGGAAGCAATTCTTTGTCACAGAATATTGCTAAATCCACTGGTAGCATTGCACAAATTGCTTCTTTATATTCTTCTACTTCTTCCTACAAGAAAGTTAACACATTTATTTTTTACATTCTATCTATCTTTCTTTTATTTATTAAAAAAAAAAAATTATAAACACAACCATTGTTTAAAACTTTTCGATACAACAATATGTTTCAGTTATGAAAAGGGAGCAGAAATTATGATACAAAAAAAACTAGGCCTTAATTTAATAAGTACCAAAGTCAAATATACAAGACATTTCAGTATCACGAGTTGTTTATGTTTGGAAAATTAAAAAAAAAAACGAAAATAGGTAACGATGGATTGAGTAATAACAATTGAGACAGTTTTGTTATACAAATACAAGCATAATGTTGCCACTGAAAAGATCCTAGTGTTAAAAAAAAATACATACAATTTACCAAAAATAGCTGAAAGTCTGAAAATAACTACGCCCATGATGCGCATTCGTCATCCAACAAATCTCGCACTGAGCATCCACTTAATATCTACCTTTTGTGACGTGAACAGGTCGGTACAGTCTGGGAAGCATTTTTTGTAATTACAAACCACAAAGGAGAGTCATTTCCAAATTTGCAAATCTGTGTTGTGTACCTATATTAAACATGAAGTTTAAATCGAATCTGAACGGAAAAGCTTTAAATAATCAGACACGGAAAGTGATAGCAAATGTGGTTCATTTGATGAGAAAGGAAGCCAAAGACAATAACCCGTGTAGAGGTTTAAAAAAATTACAGGAGTGTGTGGTATTGTGTGTGTGTAGAATAATTGTCTTGATAATTAGCAAAGTCGACGTCATTGTCTTTGCTAAGAGACGCTAATTTTATCCGAACGTCTACGGTCCCTCCGGTGAGTACCGATCGCATAAGGATAGAAATTATTTTCATTTATTAATTTTTAATAAACGAAAATTTCTTCACCCAGGTGAGATTCGAACTCACGACCTTTAGGTTCAAAGGTAGGCGCTCTTACCACTGAGCCACAGAGGGGGTTGAGAAATAAATTAAATTGGGTAGCTTAGGATTTAAATTTTATATAAATAATGTTGCTCATAAAACTTACCAATGGAATTCCCTGTTTTGCGAAGTTCTGGATTATTACAGCAAAGGCCTCACAGTACTCACAGTGCTGGCTAGGAAAAAATATGGATTCTATTATTAATATCAAATTAAAAAATTAAGTTATCGATTAGATAATTTTATATTTAAACAAAGCCGTGATCAGTTTCCATACTAATTTAACATAATTTAATTAAATTTAACCAAATAAACCTACTTCTTAGCATTTACTTTAGTATGGCGAATGACCTATTAAATATCAATCAAACGGTGTGACCGATTGTTCTAGCTTTAAATAATTTTGTAAATAATTCATTGTTATTATATAGTGTTACTTACCGGTCCTCTAGGCCGTAGACGGTAAGACCTAAAAACAAATACTATTAAAAAAAAAAAAACAAAAACTAGCTTTTTATGGATGACCGACGGCATATTACACATGATGGACATAAGAACAGAATTCAAGCGGAAAGACCACGTTGTATATCAATTTGTAGACAAAGAGCTCTCAGATAAGCTAAAAATAGAAATCTGGAAAAACAGTGTAAAGAAATCGAGATATTGGAACGTAAACACGATTCCTTCAACCTCCACAAAAAGATCAGGACACTTAACAGACGCTCAAGGAAATCCAATAGTTGATATTGAAGAAACAAAAACAACATGGATGAACTATGTGACAACATTTAAAGACGATAGGAATGTCACCATCACACAAAATAAAAATGACGATACCTAACCAACTATTCTCGACGCGGAAGTAGAAGCTGCTATAAAAAATATTAAGGAGGGAAAAGCCACATAACCAGACGAGTTCTTGCACCGCTGCTATTTAGTATGTATATAGCTGATATGCCCCCTACCAGATCTAAAAAATTTGGATATGCAGACAACTGGGCACTTGCAACTCAAAGCTCCTTAATACAAAACTCCGAGGCAATCCTAACGGAAGATCTGGAACGCCTGGTTAAGTACTTTAAACAATGGAGACTTAAACCTAACCCCAAAAAAACCGAGGTTAGCTGTTTTTACCTGAACAACAAAATGGCCCACACAAAAGTTTAAGTATACATTGATAACCAACTGCTCACGCACAACTACAATCCCAAGTACCTCGGCGTCACCCTGGACAGAACACTCTCCTTTAAGAAACATCTTGAGAACACCGCAGTAAAGCTGAGAACCCGTAACAACATCATACATAAGCTTTGAAGGACTACATGGGGCTCATCAGCAGGTACACTTCGGTGTTCAGCCCTTGGACTCGTATACTCCGCAGCTAAATACTGCTCTCCTGTTTGGCTGAATAGCGTTCACACAAAAATTATAGATACCCAGCTCAATGTCGTCATGCGACTCACATCTGGAACGATTAAGTCTACACCTGTGCAGTGGCTTCCACTACTGAGCCATATACCTCCACCTAATCTTCGTCGTCAGCATGCTCTGCTTAGAGAATTCGCTCCAGAAAACCTTTGACTAGAGATGCAATAAACTTGAGTTCCAACAATTTCCAAATGAACTCCCAGTGGAAGAACATGCAGAGCGACAGACCGAACCTAATAATGAGAAACACACCATGCATCACAGAAACTCCACCAGATTTTGACCTCCCCGAAAATCATGGTCAACTCTTAACAGGATAAGAACGGGTCATGGAGTCTGCGCAGATTCCCTTTATAAATGGAGGATGAGAACCTCTGCTGAGTGCGACTGCGGCGCCGAGAAACAGACCATCCAGCATATGATTGCCGAATGCCCTCGAAGGAAATATTATGGAGATCCTCTAGACTTTGCCTCTGCAACACCAGCGTCGATTGAATATATTAATACATTAGATGTTAGATTGTAACATATATGTGATAATGTTGTGTATCAAATTGCCATACGCTAAATAAAATAGACGAGTTATACTGATAATTTTTGAAAATTATGAATAAAGACCAAGTAAAAAGACTTATCTTGATCTTCAATAATATATACCAAAGTGGAAAACTACTCCAACAGTGGCTAAGATCAACTTTTCTAACAATCCCTACAAAAACCCAAAAAATGTGAAGATAGCCATATTAGTGTCCAACATCCTTAAAAGATAGCCACCATAAGAAGAAGATATCGAGAAATACAAAAACAAAACTCTAAAAAATAATAATACGGCCAGTCTCAACATAATATGGTACCGAGACCTGGACTCTAACTCTAATACGACGTCTGAGGTGGATATGACATGTACTGTGGATGAAACAAAATGACCCAGCATTAATCAGAGAAAAAGAGAAAGACCCACAACAAGTTTTTAGATAATATCGATTGAACCCTAATATGAGAAATATGGGAATACGTGCTTAACAGAGGAAGGCTAAGGATAGAGGCGACTGGAAAGAAATTCTTGAGGAAGCTAGGACCCACGCAGATTTGTAAAGTCAAAATATTGATGATGACCTTCAATATCACCAAGGTCAAGGTCTTAGAGTTAAGATAAAATCTTCTAAGAACCTTATCTCTATCACTAGGAGCCCCACTTTCTGCTAGCTGTTTCTTCTTTGAGTGCTACTCCTATCGGAGACTGGATATCGTTATGGCAATTCTAATTTTTTTTGCTGCTGTTTTCCACTAGCAGGTTGTCGCAAAAAAGGAAAGGGCATCCAATAAAATGGAAATTTACTAGCAAAGGAGGAAAAACTCAGTCATGAAAAAAATAAAAAAATTGTCAAGATCCTCGATAGGCCAAAACGGCATTGAAAATAACTGCAACCAAATATCAAAGAAATGAATTGATAATAGAATAGATAATTGAGAATAGAATAAAAATCTAAAAATAGGTATGCAAAACAGTCATAATTTACCATCTTTTACTATGTTTTGTTTCTCAAAAAACTTGCTGTCAACTCTGGATTTTTTGTCTACAATCCAATCGTTGTCTTTTACTTTAAACGGAGAGTAGAAGTGTAATTGCACAAATAAAGAAACAAGTAATAAGATATGAAGAACACATAGTCGTAAAAATAAATAAAAAAATTGTTTTAATAAGAAAAATTATACTTACCGACGCAAGCCAAAACAGCCAAAAACAAAGTAGTCTTCATGTTTGTGATTTGTAGTATATAGTAAGGTGCATCAATGGACTGGCTTTATATACAAAAACTGAACCACTTGAACTAATATTGTTTAGCTGAATTAAATCAATCAAATTTGAGATAAGGAAGAAACTATGAACTCCTGTCAGCAGTTGTTTCTTAATATGAAATATATGAGGAGTGTCTGTTCAAAAGGTTATTTATTTTTAAGTTTTTTTTACACTTGAGGTGTAAGATTACTTCGTAGAAAATTCAAATCTTGTTAAAAAAGCGCTCGTTTCCCTTGAAATAAAATTCTAAAAATTAAGATATACTTAATATTAATCAAAACAGGCTTATTTCGTTTTCATAAAATGAAAGAAATGAAGGTATGTATTATTGTGTATGGATATTTTGTAGTAAAATAAGTATTTTAATATAAGCGTAATAATTTTTATCTTTACTGACGAAAAATATCGTAAGTATATTTACTATATTTTGCGATGTTAGATCCAGGATCGAAATATCACGTAAGGCTTTTATGACCTGGAAACCAGTTTTATGCAACAGAAACCTGTCAATGAACATTCGTAAGAAGGTCCTGAAATGTTATGTGTTGCACACATAATGTTTCGCACACTTCCAATGAAGATGTTCTTCAAATGATCAACTCAGAACGTCTGCTCATATACATCATAAAGAGGAAAAAACAGAATACTTCGGCCATATAATTAGAGGACCCAAATACCATTTACTTCGCCTTATAATACAAGGAAAAGTGGAAGGAAAGAGATGGATTAATCGAAAAAAAACTTTCATGGCTGCGTAATATTAGACAATGGTGTGGTTTTACAGTAGAAGAATTATTTCGCGCAGCAGCCGACAGAGAAAGATTTCAGGAAATTGTAAGCATGATGACGGCCAACGTCTGAATACGGACACGGCACCCAAAGAAGAAGAAGCGATGTTTGCGCTATCGAAAAAAAAATATCGTGTGTTGTAAATAAGATGATTTACACTGTAAAAACCTTATGGTTTACACCGCTTTACATAAATGATCTTTTAATTTGCTCAGCTTTTTAACCCTAGAACACTAACCTTCAGTGTTCAGTCTTTCTAAACCGAGAGTTGTGAGAAGAAATTCCACATCAAGTAACAGTTCTCAATCTTTAAAAAAAAAACTGAATGAGAGCGATGATATTGATAATGAAACAGTTTAGGAAAGTTAAGCCAATTCGTCAATCTTACCAAATCCTTACAGGGATGAGTTCATGAGACACAAAGAAAAAATTGTTGAAGGTATTACTAATATAATATTCAGCTTTTTCTCTGATGTTTTAAATTGCATAGATTATATAGACAATAATCAAAATTTAATAAAAATACATATTTAAAATCTATTGGAAAATTTATTCACATCCAATGGATCATAACAGTTCAAATAATTTAAATACAATTCAATGGTATATAGTAATAGTCGTTTTACTGTATCTAATGTGCAATTTTTTAAACAATTTCTGTATTCGAATGCTATTGATATTGCAATTTTATCTCAAACATGTTATAAGACAAAGCACAACAATAGAGCAATTACTACAATTAGCGAAGATTCTAGTCTTCAAAATATACCCTTCAGTCCTAAATACATACAAAAATCAATTTGGTGGGATGATGAATGTAATTCATAGCTACAGCTTGAGAAGAATGCTCTTAAAAAATACATGGATTAAATTTTGCTCCAGTCTTAACTCTACTTGCCTATTAACTGAAATATCGAAGATGGCTAACAAATTAAACAACAAAAACGCAAACATCAAACATGCTCTTTCCGCAGTTGCAGAAGATATTCTTTAGAAGTTATGTCCACCATTTGTTGAAAAACATATACCTTACATGGCTTTACATCCAGAAGAACATTATTTATTAAAACAAATAACATCGTCTGAACTGGAATATGCTATCAAGATATCCAAAAACACAGCTCCAGGTCCAGATCAGATTTCTTACATTATGTTACAAAAAATGGGTGTACTGGCTAAAAGACTACTAGTAAATATTTATAACTGTATTTTGAAAACTGGAATAACTCCTTACAAACTTAATGATTGCTTTGTTATATTAATTCTAAAACTGGGAAAAGAGAAAGATAATCCAGAATCATATAGACCAATAACATTATTGTCATTCATTTTTAAAATATTTGAAAGAATTCTAAAATTGAGAATGGAAATTTGGTTAAGGCGGCAATATTTTACCAGCAACACAATATGGATACAAACAAGGCTATGGAACCACGGGTGCAGTAGTTCGTCTGACCACAGATGTTTAAATTGGTTTTTTTAATTTCCTGACAACAGGTGCATTGTTTATTGACATAAAAAATGCATATGGCAATATCGATTTAAATATACTCTGTGATAAACTTGTGTTACTTGGCATTCCAAAATCGATTGCACATTTACTAATAAATCTATACAAAGACAGAAGTGTATCGATCAGAGTAGGTCACAATATTATTGGACCCAAGATCGCATCAAAAGGTATTCCACAGGGAGCTGTTTTAAGTCCACTGTTTTTTAATTTGTACACTTACGATTGGCACAATTTATGGTCTTCCAATATTGTTTTTTTATTCTATTATTGATGTCTTTTTTTCTGAGTTTATTTCAAATTGTGTTTTATTTTTGCTGTCCATCTTGCTGTTGAGTACACTGGACAGTCTATCATTATATGTTGCACTGAAAGTGGTATTTGACAGGTGTGGCAAATTGGCTGAGGGTCCTTGAAGATGATGTATCCATGTGTATATTGTGTATGACCTAGCCGCAGTCTGTTAATAACTACTTGGTCATGTCTTTGAGTTGGGAGCGGTAGTAAAGCAGAAGTAACATCTGGTTTGATAATTTTTAATTTTGCTTCAGTTTGGCTCCATTTACTTGCAAGTTTTGTCAATAGGTAACAAACAAACAAACAAAGCAAGTTTAAAAATTTATATTACAAGTTTTAGTCATATTACAACAATTACTTTAATTTGTCTCTAACACAATTCCAATTCTTGGCATATTTCTCCAGGTGATGTGGAATTGAATTCATTATTGTAGATTTTTTCGAGTGAGGGAAGCAAATCTTTTTCACAGAAACTGTATAAACTAATTGGTAGCATTGCACAAAGTGCCTCTTTATATTCTTCTACTTCTTCCTACAAGAAAGTTAACACATCTTTAAATTCTATCTATTTCTCTTTTTTTTATTTAAAAATACTATAAATACAAACATTTTTTTAAATGTGTTTGATACAATACTACATTTCAGTTATAAAAAGGCAGCAAAAATTATACTAGAAAAACGCTAGGACTTAATTTGTAATTTTACTAAAAAGTTAGGTACCAAAGTCGAATATACAAGACATTTCAGTAGGTATCACGAGTTGTATATATTTGGAAAATTTAAAAAAATAACGAAAATAGGTAATGATAGGTTGAGTAATAACAAAAGAGACAATTTTGTTATACAAATACAAGCATAATATTGTCAGTGAAAAGATCGTAGTATTAAAAAAAACACATACAGTTTACCAAAAATAGCTGAAAGTCTGAAAATAACCACGCCCATGATGCGCATTCGTCATCCAACAAATCTCGCACTGAGCATCCACTTAATATCTACCTTTTGTGACATGAACAAGTCGGTACAGTCTGGAAAACATTTTTTGTAATTACGAACCGCAAAGGATCCAGATTTGCAAATCTGTGTTGTGTACCTATATTAAACATGGAGTTTAAATCGAATCTGAAGGGAAAAGTTTTAAATAATCAGACACGGAAAGTGATAGCAAATGTGATTCATTTTATGAGCAAGGAAGCCAGAAACTAAATCGTGTACAGATCTGAAAAAAAGTACAGGAGCGTGTGGTATTGGCAACAGGTGTTAGTTTACGCAGCGTTCAAAAAATTGCTCGAGAAATGCAATTAATTGAAGACGGCGAATGTTCCCCATTTGTAACCGTAAGATTTATAACTCATTTGTAACCGTTTGTAAGATTATCATGATGCAATGAACTACGATGACAAAATAGTTTTAGGATCAGCTGATACCAAATTTGCCCCCGAACAGCGTTTCAGGTATTGATAATACATCGTATCACTACATGCATACTAAGAAATGCCCAACTATGTCTTCCAGAAACGCAGAAGTGAAGAAGTGTCTGACAACCCGAAATATTTCGTTTGCAGATGACATGTTGAAATAAAACGTATTAATTTTAAATTAGTGTTTAAATTAGTGTAACAGTTTTAATTTTAAATTAGTGAAAAGTTTTTGTAATGAATTTTTGAAATTCGTCAGTTCACCAATGAAAAAAGAGGAGTAAATATGTTAAAAATATAGAACAAAGTTATATGGCACAATAGCCAGATTTTGATACCGTGGTGGATCAAATAATTATAAATGTAGGCGTCGATAGTTACAGTGACTCTGAAAATGACGAGATAGACTCTGATTCTGAGTCAGATGATTTAGAAATATGAAACTAAGACACTTGCATTTCTTTAAAAACTGTGTAAAAAAAATTATAAAGTTTTAATAATTTTTTAGAAATAATATTATTTTTATTTAGTTCTACGTGGACGATTGTAGCAGTCGAAACGAAAGAACTTTCAATTTCCGCTATTACAAAAAATTATTATTATATTATGGAAAATATTCAAAGATACTGAACATCTAATTTCTATTAGTATTGCATTAGACGATTTTATTACTACTTAATTACCCTACTGCTTACACCCTTTTTCTCCTAAACCTTCTGGTTAATATAATGGTAATATAAAGTATAAATGGTCAATATAAAAATATAATTTTTGGTTTATAATGCCATAATTTATAGCAGCACAAGTGGTTTTTGTTGGATCGATTTGTTTACATCTCACTTTGTCGAACAAATACAACAAATTAATATACTGAAGAAAAGTAATGACATTAATAATAATTGTCTACGGGACCTATTAGAAACTATTCAAACTTTACGTTCCTTTTAATTTTAAAATTCACTTG